TGTGTGAACAGTTAATCCGTTTACGTTAAATGGCAATTCTAGTCGGGGCAGTAATAGCAACATTTTTATGCAGGTTGTTTTTAGTAAAGTAAAGTAAAGTAAAGTAAAGTAATGATTTATTTGCATTGAATGTAGGTAATAACAATAAGGTGTTGATAGAGTACATAGAAGATCCGTACATTCTACCATTTTGGCATGCAAATATTAAATTAAATTTATTTCTATATAATACTAGTAATTAATTATTAAATAGATTTAAAATTATAATTATGAGTATAAATAATTATTACATTATTATAATTCAAAGTATTGCATTATTATTATTACATAAATTTATATTGTCGAAATTTTATTGCAGTTAGCATAACACATACATTATTAATACAAAGAACATATTATAAACAATTAATTAACTGCAACGTTATTTAAATATTGGTATCATTTAAGAAGTCCGATACTGAGTAATAGCATCTTTCCAATAACAAAGAAGTAAGACTCTTTTTAAATATTCTAATAGGTTGATTTTTTACAAAAATTGGGATTTTGTTATATATGATAGGAGCCATGCTCATAACACTTTTTTTTAATAAAGCTGTTTGAAATCTTCCTGTATACAGTAAATATTTATATTGCGTTCTCATAGATACGGCTCGTACTCTAGTTTCATTTAAGGTAGGAAATAAATGATGATTAATTTTAACAAATATCGCTATTTCTAAAATATAGAGACACGGAAAAGTTAATAATTTGTGGGCCTTGAAAATAGGGACACAACTATCAGTTATCTTTAAATTGAAGATTGCTCTTATGCAGCGCTTTTGGGCTTTGAAAATGCTTTCTCTATCGCCACAGTTGCCCCAAAATATAATACCGTATCTTAAAATGGAAACTACCAGGCCATGGTAAGCTACTAGCACCGTTTTGACACTGACTTTTTTTGCCAGGTTATAGAGTGCATATGCAGAAACACTTAGTTTCTTACAGACATCATCTGCTTGGGCCTTCCATGTCAATTGGCTGTCTATTAAAATACCTAAAAATTTTGCGACATCTACTCTTTCAATTATTTGACAATTGTAATTTATATTTAGATCTTCAGTGCGAATTTTCTGATAAAAGTGCATTATTTTAGTTTTTTTAATATTGATCAGTAAATTGTTATAATTCAGCCAGTTAATTATAGTTTTAATCGTAGTGTTTATATCACTTTCATAAGAATCTTTATTAAGGCATTTTATTAGAGCTGTACTGTCGTCGGCAAATAATACCATTGGATGATGGATTTGGCTTGGGAGGTCGTTTATGTAAAGTAAAAATAACAGTGGCCCAAGGACACTCCCCTGTGGTACGCCGAATTTTATTTCTCTATAGGAAGAAACATATTTGCATTCACGTTTATATTTATTACATATACTAGCAATCTCTGTACATTGTTTGCGGCCTATCAGATATGATTTTATTAGGTTAAGAATATTACCTCGAATGCCGTATGCGTTAAGTTTCTGTAATAGTATGTCATGGTTCACATAATCGAAGGCTTTAGACATGTCTGTATAAATAGCACATATGGGAGTTCTGGTATCTACACTAGCCATTACCCTCTTTAATAAGTCGTAAACAGCCATATTTACGTTTTTGTTTTTTCGGAACCCATATTGTTCATCGCAGAGTATATTAAATTTAGCCAAAAATGCGTAAATGGATTCGTAAATAACTTTTTCCATTACTTTAGAAAAAACTGGAAGCAAAGCAATCGGTCGGTAGTTAGACATGTCTTCTTTGTTGTTTTTTTTATAAAGTGGTTTTACTATAACCGTTTTCAGTCTTTCGGGAAACATTCCCGCTAATATGCTTACATTAATAATATGACTAAGAGGCCCAGATATGCTGTTGCAAACAGATTTAATAACTTGCGTTGAAATGCCATCATAACCAAAACTTTTTTTGTTTTTTAAAGATTGTATTATCCGTATTATGTCTTGTGGTACAGTTGGTGTTATAAATATCGAGTGTGGGTTATAATTAATTTTTTTGATGTTATCTGATACGGTTTTTGGTATATCTGTGATCTGGTCGATAAAAAAATTGTTGAATGATTCAGCTATTTCTTTAGGGTTTGTTATTAACAAATTATCTTTTTTTATCTGAGAAATAGGTTCCGTATTTTTTTTGCTATTATTTATTATTTGCCAAGATGTCTTAGATTTATTCTTTGAGTTTTGGATGAGATGGTTATTTTGGGCTTTCTGGGTTAATTTAATTATTTTTTTGAATCTTCGGGAATACGTATAGAAATTGTTTTTATTTTCATATGTCGGTTTTAATCTCTTTTGCCACAATAAATGGCGTTGCCTTTTGCTACAAATCCGAATACCACGTGACACCCATTTAATCGATTTTTCACTACGTACTATAACCGATTTAAAAGGAAAACACAAAATATATAATAAAAGAAATAAGTCGATAAAACTATCATAGGCATTATTAGGGTCGTCAGTACTGTAAACGTCTGAAAACGATAACTGTTGAAGATATTTATTGAATTTGTTTATATTCTCATTGGACGTATCTCTTATTGTTTTTCGCCAATATTTTGTTTGTCTTGATTTGTTAACGTATATTTTTAGAATCTGAGCTGTATGGTCTGATAAGGCTAAGTCTATTACTTCGCATTTGCACTTTTGTTTCAAGTTATGAGCAAAATTGTCTAAACAGGTATTGCTGTCTAATCTTGTAGGTCGGTTAATTTCCAATTTAAGGTTGTAGCTTAAAAGAAAGTATTCAAATTCTATTGCTAATCTGTTCCTTTTTAAAATGTCTATATTAAAGTCACCACAAATTATTATACTACTTTTTCGGTTATTACATACTTTCTTTAAAATAGAGTCTAAATTTTCATAAAATTTATCTATGTTACATATTTTTGGGGGTCTATAAATACATAAAATTATCGTGTTTTGTTTTATTAATTTTATAGCACAACATTCAATGATCCCTGTTATAGAGTATTTCATTATGTCTGGTAATTCTGTGTACTCATGACATTTTTTTATCAAGATGCAAGCTCCTCCGCGTTTTACATTTCGTGAATAGCATGTAGCTAGCTTGTAATTGGATATTTGTATTAATTTTTCATGGCCAGACATTATGAAATGCTCGGTAATACACAATACATCTATATCTATTTGTATGTTTAATAATTCCTGAATATGAACCGTTAGTACATCAGATTTATTAAGAAAGCCGGCAATATTCTGATGCATGATATACATATGATTAGAATAGAAAAAAATTTGAATTTGAGCAAGTGGGAATAGCTTCTTTATTGACTTTTATTTGAATATTAGGAGATATTTCTAGATCTAAGTTAGGTTTACTTATCATTATTAGTATATTACTCATGACATTCTTTAATCCATAGTTATTTAATCTCCCACTATATTTGGAAAACATACTATAATCGTAGGATAGTTCAAAATTAGAATCTAATAGCTTTGCGTAGTTAAAAGTGTTGAGATCTAGGTACAATAAATTATTAAAAGTTTCTATCCTCCAATTAAACATATCGGAATAATCTTTACATTTGTATGTTGGAAGGCACAGTATAATATTGGTATGCTGAATATTTTGAAGAGTATTCCTCATTTCTTTGATGATATCAAAGTAATTATTAGTTTTTCGAAAATCTTCCTCTCCTATTAAAATTACGCAGTAGTCATTTTTCGTAAAGCTTACTAATTTTTTATTTAAATTATTTATTAGCTGTAATATTCCGCAATTGGGGAAAATGTAGTGGCATATCTCGGTATTCAAAAACGTATCCTCAGCAATAGATAATACCTTGTTGGTTTTATTGGCACTTATAATGCAAATTTTTTTTCTAGCAGGTTTTAACTTAATATTTGTTGTTTCGCTTATATGTGCTGTATTATCTTGTTGTGTCATCGTAGGGTCAGCTATTGGTTTTTGAGTAATTGGCGTACTAGAAATTTTGTTAAGGATATTCTGTTTTTTTCTGGTAGATTTATTAAGTGGAGTGGATACTTTCAAGCTTTTTTTTGGAGTATCTACATCATTCGTTAATTTTTTGGTGGCTTTTTTTAAAACTTCATGTTTCGATGCTAAACCCTGGACGGTTTTTTTGAGCTCGTGATTTTCTATGGACAAATTATTTATTTCTTCGTGAGCTGAATTTAGTTGTAGGGTGAGGTGTTCTATTTGTTCTTTAAGTTTTTGTATTTGTATGTTATTTTCATCACCTGATAAGTTCGGTAAACTACAAGAAGTGCCATCTAGTTTCGAATTATCTGAACTACTTTCGCTACAAGTATGATCGGTCATAGATTGAGTGCGTTTTTTTCGAGATGTTATATTATCGAAGAAATTCATATTGCAATTTAAAATTTATAATTTATAAGTTTTAAAATTAGGAAAAAGTATAGTTTAGTCGAGTTTCGATCGTAGACCACGCAGATATCACTCCGAGTTAGTAACACCGCTAGGCTAATTGAACATTACTGTCATCGGCGAAATTAGAGTTCAGTTACCAATAGCAATACTTTTTATAAACAATTTTGAATTGACCGTTGACACTGAGTTTTTCCCACAATCATTTACCACTTACAATATAATATTTTGTTAAAAATATGGTTGTAAACACTTAATACTATACACACAATTAATAATAGTAAACGTAAGAAAAGAAATTGGATGAATGAGCACGAAGAAAATTATTTTACAAACTGTCATATCACTTTTTGTTTAAAAGTTCGTAATTTTGTAATCCATCTATATATACACACTATAACAATGTCACTTAACCTTTAGGATCCTCTTTCACTATTAAACTTATTAGAACACTTAATTACTTATTCTATTTATATATATTTTTATTCCTTATTTTTAAGGTTTTTCTTAAATAGCTCTTGCCGGTGCCACCGGTGTCACTAACAAAATGTCGCAATATTTCTTTTTAGTTCATAATTTTATAAGTGACTATATCAAATACTTTTTTTTTGGTCAGAATTCAGTTTATCTACCATTGCTTCCTCATTCATTTCAGAAATATCCGCTTCAACTAAATTAAAGTTGTTTAAATCTTCCATAGAGTTTACCGCTTTCAAAGCTACAAACTCTAAAGGATTGTCGGGTCCTTCATCTACTATGTTTTCCCTTTCTTCGTTTAGTTCTGCTACTTTTTCTTCTACCTTTTCAAAAGCTGTTTGTATAATATTTCGTAATTCATTCCGTAAATTTCCGTAGCGTAACGCTTCTTGTAAATCGTCCTTTACAGATTATTTTGACCAAATTTTGAGCGAAATTAATATTTTAGTGTAATTTGTTTATTTAATTTGAGTAATGTTCGAGTAGAATAAAGTTAATCGTTCGACTATTTTTTCTTGTAAACTTGTAAGTATAAGTATAAAAGCCAGTCTAGTGTTATCCAGAGTTTTCCTTTAATTTTATTTATATGCGAATTAAAAGCAGAAGGGGAGGCTTTCGCCTAGCAGTCGGACGCTATAGGCTAGATTAAATTAGAAGAAATCCAGCGTAGTGTGTCCCACTACGCTGGATTTTTGCAATGACAGTAGATTTTTTTATGTACCAATAGTAGAAGGGGCGTTGCCATATCTCTAATACAGCTGAGACCAGCTGAGGGTTCATCATCAGATACTTCATACCTTCGATTTTTGACATCAAATGAAGCGGCTCACCAAGTTGAATATTTTTGTAAAGGCGGTATGTCGATCTCTTCTAATAGTTTGGTTGGGCTCTTGTGTTTTCTAATCAGGGTCACCAGGTACTCCAGATCTTCGATTATCCTAGTTTTTATAGTTTTTCCTTTATGTGGACATTAAACCCTAACTCTGTACCAAATGTCAGCTCTCTGAGTTTATGGGAAGTACAAATTTTATTCTGATGATCATGAGTGAGTGAGTGAGTGTCATAAATGCGAAACTTTACTTTCGCTTAACTTCGAAACTAAATGACCTACAGACTTGAAATTTTGGATTTTAAGTATGTAATTATAGCTTACTGGATGAAGAAAATTTCTGCGTTGTGGTCTTATCCAGAGGTTCTCAAATAGGGGCCTGAAAATGCCGCGAAATGGTTCCAGTAAAGGATGGTACGGCAGTGTTTGCTTCGCGCTCGAATTGGCGGGGCCACTGCTGTGCCCCCCGATCAAATGTGCATCAAAACCTTAAGGCTCTCCGTAGTCTTTACCTACCCCTCTGGGTGACAGGCGTGAGTGTTTGTGTGTGTGTGTGTGTGTGTTTGTGTGTATTAGAAAGACGCTGCCTTCCTAGTTTGTTTCCCTCTGTCGCCTTTTACGACACCCACAATATAAGGTAGTGGATATTTTTACACCGCCACTATACGGCCCTTATTCGGGCTTATAACGAGTTTATTAAATAAGTTACGTTCAAAAATTCAACCGAAGTAGTTTTGAATGTGACTAATATATTATATTAAAGCAACCATTGTAGAAATAGTTATGAAGGTACCTGCTTTGCTTGAAAAGATTACTTCAAAGAGCCTTTGTGAAATATTCTTATTCAGAGGATTTACTTGCGTTAAGGATTTATATTTAGTATTTTTAGGAGGAGAGTCGTGATAGCTCAGGGGCTAAGTGCTCACTGTCAATTCCTCAGTATGCAACCAACCCGGGTTCAAACCTCGCCGGCACAAACAAAATTGTTTTTTTTTTAATTCATTTTAAGTGCTAATTTACTAGATGCTCGGCGATAATGTAAAATATCGTGAGGACAACCTACATAGTCTGAAAGAAAAAAAATCTGATGATATGTGAATTCGACCATCACGCACTGGAGGGGAGTGCGGACTAATTTATCAATAACCATCTCTGCAACGAGAGGCGGCTTGTGTCCAGCAGTGGGTCGATAGGCCATGAATTTACTTTATATTCACTTTATTAACCATGTAGTGGCATTTTACCAAACAAAATAATAAAATAAACTGCGGTTGCCAACGCGCTTGCCAAGCATGGCAACAGTGGCAAGTATCCCCCCTATAAGCAATCTGTTGGGAAGACCTATGTTCAGTAGTGGACTTTAATAGGCTGTAACGGTAACAGTATATTCTCTTTAGAAGATTAACAGACTTTATAGACAATCTTCGTGATAACAACTTAATAATGATAAAATAACCGCAGTTGCCAACCCACCTGCCAAGGGTAGTTAACTATGATATATCGGCAACCACCTGGGGAAGCCTATATCAGCGTGTAAGTGGACGTGTAACCGCGTGGCCTAGTAGCCATATTCCGTTGCCGTTCCTGGGTTTAAATCCCAAACGGATGCAGCACTTGTGCAAAATACCCATTTGGTTGTGTTTAGTTCCGAGTGTGATCTTATTATAATTTATGATATATGTATGACACATAATAAGTTTCATTTTTTTGCGATGCTTGTTTGTTAACATTTTTTAACTTAAAATGAATAAAAAAGCTATTACTGAAAATGGAATTCATCAGGGTTTTAAATTTATTACGCAGATCTTAGCCAAATGATTTTAAACGCATCACGTAATATTTCGTGAAAAAAAGGATTTTTTCACGAAATATTACGTGATGCGTGAGGTACATGTTTTAATCTAAAAAAAATATCCGTTTTGTAAGATTTAGACATTAAAATAACAAACAAAAAAATAACCAAAGAATAAACAAAAATATTTATAATTGTGCTTTCAGTTTTCAAGGAAGGATTCCATCTCATTGATAACTTGTAGGATGCCGGAGCACTGAATGGGCACATTTTTCTATCAACCTTATGGGACCTAATCAAATAATGTTCAACCTTTGACCATAACAATATAAAGAAACGAAATTAAACATACCACATTTGCTCATTAACATGTCAGAAGATCCAGTAGTAGGTTATTCTGGTATATCCCGTAGCTGGTCATAGCTTTAAGTGACAATATTACATCTTATGAGTTTTTGTCAACTTAAAATACATATTAGTATAATTTATGACGTTCACAAAGGACTAACAATAATGCCATAAATATATAAAATTGTAATCGAATATCACTAAAAAATCATACACCGAAATATCTCAATTAAAGAAACAAAAGATCTTTTATTTGGAACAAAAACTAATTCCTGAATTAAGTGATTGATATTATACAGATTTTGAAATTGTGTGATTTTTAAAATGTGAGTATCTATGATTTTTGTAACGTTCAATTGAAAGAAGCTAATTATTTGAATACTTAGATATTTATAGTACTCGCTCCAAAAATGAGAGGACTGTGAAAATGTGGAACGCTTAAAGAACCTTTCACATTTTACGGCTATGAAGATAATTATAAGGCAAAATAAAATAAAATATTTAACTTTAAAGTCTTATTATCTTTTTTATAAAAAAAAGGACGCAAACGAGCCGCATGCTCACCTAAAAGTAAGAGACTAACTCTCTGTCACCCCTATGGGACTGCAATTATATTCTAATAACAAGTAAAAGAGTCTCCGATTCCCGCCACTTACCTGATAAAATAAAGCTATTATAGTACAGTTATATATTAATCTGTACGATATTGTTCCTTCCATGTTCGAACATTTGTAACTATTACTGAGACTCATCCTTCTGAACTCTCAAAACATAAAATGAATGTGCTCACATTATTATTATGAGGGGTATCTATATAGTTTTCTTATCCGATTGGGCTGTATAAATATATAATTGTAAATGAAAATGATAAACATACATAAGTATCAACAAAATAAAATAAATACATAAAAAATACATAAATTAATAAAAACCCAACCAGATGGAAGCCCTCGGCAGGGGAGACCAAACGGCCGAGGGTTAAGGGGAAAGGGAAAGAAACCGGCGGACGATGCGGGCGGTATCGAGGAGTACCGCCTTCTGCATTTGAGCTTGGAGCGGTCCAACACGGAGTCCCAGTCGCCTCAGATGACCCGAGAGGCTGACTGGGATTAACCCGTTCGCAGAAACGACTATAGGTATAATTTCGGCCGGCAGTCTGCCCCACATGTCGGGCACCTCGTGAGCCAAGTCCAGATATTTTGTACGCTTATCTGTTTCGGCTTTCACGAGGTTCTTGTCATACGGAACGGTAAGGTCGACCAAAAATAACCTTGACTGTGCCCGGTCCACCAGCACAATATCAGGCTTATTCGCAAGAATAGTCCTGTCTGTGATGATAGCCCGGTTCCAGTAGAGCCTGGCGCAGTTATTTTCGAAGTAATTAAAATGAACGTTTATGTGTAGACGGTGTCATGCATGGTATATATATACGTATGTAAATGATATAATATATGAGATTCTTAGATAGGTCTGTTTAAAAATTCCTGCCTAAACGCTGTAATCGAATAAATCAAATAAGCAAAGAAAAATTGCTTTGTAATTGTGACATCAATGGAGGTAGTAATTATTTTCAATTTTATGGTATGTTATTGTAGGAGCTCTGGTGGTTCAGGGGTAAGGGCTTGCTGTAATTTTGACAGTACGCTAGTAACCCGGGTTCGATCCCCACCTGAACCAATGAAATTTGTAATTACAGTTTTTAGTACTAATTTACCACGTGCTGCGCTGTGAAGTAAAACATCACGAGGAAACCTCACGAGGAAAGCATGTCTGAAAAATAAGAAAAAAAATATTTTGATGGGGCAGCGGGGCTGACATTTCCTTGCCCTAAAACGCTCTCAGAAAGGAAAGGTGGCCTTTGCCCAGTAGTTGAACTTATATTGGCTGTAACTTTAATTTCTATGATGTGTTTCGTATAGTGAGTATAGAGAACAGGAGACCATTTTAACTGGAATCGAGACATTCTATGTTATTTCCAAGTAGTGACAACGAATCTTCATTTTGATTCCTAATCGTTCCTAATCGAGGTCACATCACCTTTACTCTAAAAAAATTCAAGCTTTTTTCTTCATATTTTAGTCTGCTTGATTCATTAGGAAAATTTACATAATTGGTTATATTAAATCGAACACTACAGATCAGTAAAATTTTAGGAATTTTTCGTTTTCATTTGTAAATAAAACACGATGACATTATTATTTTACTTTGCAGCATCCATCAAATTCAAATTGAGTTAATTCGATTAATAAATCTAATATCTTAATAACTGCTGACTTACTTTGACGTTGACTTTGAAAACGAGACGTCTCTTTAATACATACTTTTGTGCGGTCAACCCTTATAAATTGGCATAAATAAAATGTAACATGATTTAGAGCATATGATCATATTTTTATCCGTAGGTCCATAAATGTAAGTAATAACCTTTTATTATTTAAAAGTAAGATGCAAATTTGCCTGGAATATTATTTTAGAAAGAGTTACAAACATCCTGCAAATATCAAAACGTGCAGTATATTGTACTAAGAATTTTTAAGCGGAGAAGTTCTCCTTATATTTAAAATGCCGTATCCTTACCAATTGAATCCCTACAATTTTCTCTCTTAGTCCAGGCAACATGAATACTTTCGCGGCACTGCCACTACTATGGTGACAATATAGTGGAAGTCATTAACTGGCAATTCGAAGGGCGTAGTACTATTCTCCACATACTGATCATTTATTAGCAGGGACCTGGAAAATACGGCATGCGCGACCTCCCGAAGTATTAATTTAAGATGCCAACCGCCAAAACCGGCGTTCGCAGATCTTTCGCATCAGACTACTTGAAAAATGAGAGCGAGTAATCGTCGAAATACCCTTTTGGGGTAGTCGTGTAATAATCACTAAGTTTCCGAATCTCTTTAACCAAACTCATTAGTGTAAATTTAAGACCAACACCAGCGAATTCGGGCATGGTCCATATTTTTCTCCAGAAATTTGTCAATGTAAAAAGTAAATTCACTGTACTTTGGTAGGTAGTAATAAAAACATAGGATTTTTTTATCAAAAATGGGCTTACTCTTGAGCTCAATCTTTGCCCTCGGGCAAAGATGAGGTCTACGGTGGAGCGACTTTACCCAGGAGAAGCCTGTTTATACGCACCTTGAAGAGGTTCAGGTCATATGTACACCGACAGGATATTCCACCCCTTGGCTGTGCGCATTATGAAAGATGATTTAAAGCGCTTATTGCAACTATTACGAATATCAACCAAGTGAGGATGGTAACCTGCAGTGCGCCTTTTACTCCGATAGGAGAAAGGAGATGGCGATATGAGCTTATGAAGCTCATGGGAAGACTCCCTGATGTATAATCTGTAGAAGACCGCCAAACAAGCACACAACAAACTTGGCCTAAGCTGTGAAGCTTAGCCTCCACCAGCTTTTTGTCACAGATAAGCCTCTTGTCTCGGCGTTGCACTGACTCTAGTGCGGCAAGTTAATATTTGCTGAGCCATCCCAAAGGTGATTGCAATACTCCAGGATTGTTCGGACTTGAGCTTTGAGCTGTGCCCCTCCGTTTTTTGCACTGGACATGAATCTCTCTAGGACTGTGCTGTCGTCTGCATACCCAACAATACTTGATAGAAGTAGGTCATTGATGTGCAGCAGAAAAAAGTCGCAGAGAGAACTGACCCCTGAGGAAGTCCGGCATTAATATGCATTATGTCGAAATAGCAGCCATACTACTCTGATCGACCGTTCACTCAGAAAGTCAGATATCCAGTTGCTAAATTTGGCGGGGATGCTGTAAGCAGGAAGCTTACCCAGCAAACTAGCGTGCCAAACCCTGTCATTACCCTTCGAGATATCGAGTTAAACTGCTAGAGCTTCACAGTTCTTCTCGAAATAAACTAATTTGAATGATTGAACTTTTGAATGATTTTATCATTCAAAAGTTTCAACGAAAATATATGTATATCACTGCTGGGCATAATAATTAGATTACAACGTAAGAAGAAATTGGGAATATTTTCTCAATTACGTTAACTATTGCGTAGCATTCAAATTACACAATTTTTCAGAAACAAAAACAATATGGTGGATTATACAAATTAAAAAAACCAAATTTACTAAACTACTACTACTAAATGCACCAGTAAATGGTAACAGGTGCTGTTGCCTTTTTTGTATGACGTTCGCTACAGTGATAGGAAGTGGCTAACATGGGCTGCAGCAGGCACTTCCCATCAAGTAAAATCATCTTATTATTTACCTATTTCAAATTAAAATTTATTTAATGATAATGCTAAGTTATAAATGAAACTTTGCTAATATATCTGTACATGATCGAGATTTTCAAACAATGTGTAAATATATAATTTCATTAACCTAACAACAATTTACAGGAATTCCTTCCGTTCCAGAATCTCTTTAATTAAAATTGTTTACTTGTTACGGAAAATGTGGTTTCGGAGTTGGAGTTTTAATTTTAAATACAATTATTATACAATATTACCGGAATTATCACTCATCATTAATACATCGAATAAGTTTGAAGATAAGTTCTGTATTTAATTCTAATATTTCCTGAATAAACGAAACTCCGTGTAGTGGCGGTGTAAGAATATTCATTAAACCATATAATCGTGTGGGTGTCGTAAGATGCAACAGTGGGAAACAAGTCAGGGGATGGGCAGCGTTTTCCTAATAACGCTTGCCAATCGTGACAACTATGTCAAATATCCTCAGTCCCAATCTTTGTGGAGGCCTACGTTCAGCGGTGGCTTTCAATAGGCTGTAACGGTAACGGTAAAGGTAAAGGATATTGAAGGTATGGCGACCCGCAAGCAGACGTTTCACAAACGATGAGTTTCTCCAAGCGCTGTACTGTATCAGGAATATCTTTTACATTTATGGAGACGCTCCGTAGGTCAGACACATACTTGTCTGGTTTTTATACTGTAAATGCACATAACTAAATTATATACGTTCTTATCTACATGCATCATTCATCATCATTACAGCCCTCCACAAGACAGTGGACTTAGGTCTTAGTGAACATAGTCCTCCCCCAAGGAATGCCATAGAGCACGGTCCTGAGCCACTTGCTTCCTGCATGTCTTACCAGGTTGTCACACCATCTAGTGGGGGGCCGCCTCACACTTCACCTACCGGTACGAGGCTGCCCCTCGGGGACCTTCCTTCCCCATTGGTTGTCGGTTCTTCGAGCTATATTGCCAGCCCACTGCCACATCAGCTTACTAATACGCTGGACTATGTCCGTAACTCCGGTTCTACTGCAGATATTCACGTAGGGAAACCCCGTGCCATCTCCATAGTTCGCTGAGCGACCTTGAGATTCCTCGTTCGGCCAGCAGTGAGGGATCAGGTTTCAGATCCATAAATTATCACTAGCAATAAGCACTGCTTGTACAATCTTGTTTTAAGTTTTGAGGTATAGGTACCTGACGAGAATATGTGTCGTAATCTCCCGAACGCTGCCCCGCCGAGTTGAATCCGTCGATTGACCTATCGGTTGAAGATGGACTTACCTAGTTGGACTATTTATCATGGTCAACAACTTCGATCTTAGTGCTCACTACCCGCATAAGTGTTACATGGAGGTTACACATAATCTAAGTTTTGTCCATGTTCATCTTAAGACCTATACGATGGGAGACACTATCGAGGTCATTGAGCATAGTGCTTAGGTTCTCCAGTAATTCTGCTATAAAAAAACTATATAGTTGGCAAATCGAAGTTGAGTG